TCAGACCCAATTACTGCTAGCCTGGGCAGAGGCTTAAGAGAGAGGAGACAAGGGGCTCCCAGGTCCGAGATGTCTGAGCTTGAGCCTTGACAGCAAGCAGTAGAAATCATTCTCTTTTCTTTTTTTTTTTTTTTTTTTTTTTNTTTGTTTGGTTGGTTTTTGGTTTTTCGAGACAGGGTTTCTCTGTAGCTTTGGAGCCTGTCCTGGAGCTAACTCTTGTAGACCAGGCTGGCCTCGAACTCACAGAGATCCGCCTGCCTCCCGAGTGCTGGGATTAAAGGCGTGCGCCACCACCGCCGGGCTCTTTTCTTTTTAAAGAGTTATTTTTATTAAGTGTCTCTGCGTTTGAGTATATGTGTATGAGTGCAGGTGCCTGCAGAAGCCAGAGGCATCAGACCCCTTGGAACTGGAGTTTTAGGTGGTTGCAAGACACCTGATGTAGGTGTTGGGAAGAACTTGGGTTGTCTGCAAGAACGGCAAGTGCTCTTAAAGTTTGAGCCAGCTCTCTAGCCTCCTATTTTCTTTTTTTTTTTTAAATTTATTTATTTATTTATTTATTATGTATACAATATTGTGTGTATGCCTGCAGGCCAGAAGAGGGCACCAGACCCCATTACAGATGGTTGTGAGCCACCATGTGGTTACTGGGAATTGAACTCAGGACCTTTGGAAGAGGAGGCAATGCTCTTAACCTCTGAGCCATCTCTCCAGCCCCCCCCCCCATTTTCTTTTTTTAAAAAAGGTTTAAACAATAAATAAAGAGCAGAGGCATCTGCTTCTTGTTGTCTCTGTCCATGTTTCTGTCTCTATAAATGCCTGGTCAGTGTGTGCTCTCGCTCTCTCTTTGGGGTGTCTTTGTCTCTGGGTTTCTGTTTCCCCCTAATTCTCGCCTACGTACCAGAGCACTTTCCCACGGGGAAGCAGTTTCCTGAAAGAGATCAAAGGTCAGAATAGGCCAGTGGGATGAGGTAAGGGACACAGAGGTCTGGGGAGGGGAGAGAACGTGGAAGGGGACGAGGGAGAGGACATGTTAGGAAAGGGCTAGAACTGTCCAGGAGAGGTATATACATAGGAGACATAGAGTCGATTAGTGCTTCCCTAGGGCTGGGAGTAGGGGTGGGGAATGGGCATTGGGTTAGCTAATGTTGCAGGTTTTTCTTTTTCTTCGAGACACTCCAAGCTGACCCCGAATTCAGTAAGGTAAGTGAAGGTGGCCTTGAACCCCTGATCCTCACCTGAGCCATCTCTCCAGCCCCCATGGTTCATTTTTTTAAAAATATTTATTTATTTATTTATTTATTTATTTATTTATTTATTTATTATGTATACAATATTCTGTCTATGTGTATGTCTGCAGGCCAGAAGAAGGCACCAGGCCTCATTCCAGATGGTTGTGAGCCACCATGTGGTTGCTGGGAATTGAACTCAGGACCTTTGGAAGAGCAGGCAGTGCTCTTAACCACTGAGCCATCTCTCCAGCCCCCCCATGGTTCATTTTTCATATCTTTTGTTCATCTGTTTTGAGACAGGGTCCTTCTGTATTGCCCAGTGGTCTAGGACATGTGTTCTCCCGCTTCCCAGGGATGGACCACCTAGGGTCACCTTTATATAGGTGTTCTGAGCACATTTTTTTAATCATTGAAACAACAGAAACAAAGTCACTGTATAGCACGTGCTGGGGCTACCGGCCTGTGCCACCATGCTCAGGTGGGTTCACATTCCTCTGGGGAAAATAACCAACTCTGTGGATATATAGACATTGACTAAACTGTCCCCTTTAAAAGGGTGAGCGCTCTTAGACACAGGGTCTCCATAAATAGCCCTAGCTATCCAGGAGCTATGTAAACTAGGCTGGCTTCCAAGTTGAAGTGAGTCTCCTGTCTCTGCCTCTCAGGTGCTGAAATTACAGGAGCATGTACCACACCACACCCAGGAACTGTGACCTATAACGTAAATAAAATAAAAAATAAAGGCCAGAAAGACGCTTCAGTACTGCGCCTACCCTTAGCGTAAGTCTGATCTAGTCTTGATCTGGCCTGTAAAACAAACTTTACAAGGTGCTCATGACTGGGCTCCTGTCTGCCTCTCCTAAACGGACAAGTCAAATGACAGTGGTAAGTTCTGGGGAGGAAGAGCAGGATGGAGCCGGCGCTGTGGCAGAGAGTTTGTCTGAGCAGCACTGCCGCTTGCCCTACTCCAGAGAAATCAGTCTTCTTGGAGGAGTGTGTGAGGGCTCTGAGGACCAAGCCCAGAGCCTGCCTCCCAGTTGCTTGACCAGTGAGCCACACCCCTAGCCTTCTCTCTGAACCACGAGATTCTTGCTCCCCTTGGGTCCCTCTGAAATTGCTGTTCAGGATTTTTCTGGGTAACCCCTACACTTGTAGTTGCTGACAAGAGAAGCACCTGCGAACTGAACGGAAGACGCACATGTTGGGCAGTTTGGAGGACACATCCTCAGAGGAAGCTTCCTTCTTCCTCTTCTCTCTCTCTCTCTCTCTCTCTCTCTCTCTCTCTCTCTCTCTCTCTCTCTCTCCCTCCTCCCCCCAAGACAGGGTTTCTGTGTGTAGCTTTGGCTATCCAGGAGCTCGCTGGCTCTGTAGACCAGGCTGGTTTCGAACTCACAGATCCACCTGCCTCTGCCTCCTGAGAGCTGGGGTTAAAGGCGTGCGCCACCGCCGCCCGGCTCTTTCTAACGTGTGTGTACCCATGGAAGCCTGAAGGGGATGCCAGGCCCTCTGCAGCCGTGTTGAGCTGCCTGACATGGGTGCTGGGAACGGAATCGGGGTTCGGTAAAAGCAAGAGCTTTGAACCTCTGAGCTATCCTTTCAGCCCACCCGGCCCCATTTCTTTTCAGAATTCCAGCCACAGGAACTTTCACGACTTGCTTTATCTTTAGTGTTTGGAGTTATGAGTCGTTTTAAACTTCTAGTTCTTTCCACAAGATCTCTGAGAGGACACGGCCCTTACTCCCTAGAGCCTAGCACTGCGCCCGGCATATAATAAATAGAATGATGGAATGTGGTTCCTAGCCCCAGGATGGCTACAGCACAAGATAAGTGCACACAAAAGGCGAGCCCATTGTGGTGGTTTCTTTTGCATCCTGGGAATGGCTGCTTGATTGACTTACTGATCAATTAGCAGAGGACCTTAAAGCCGCCCAGGCGCGGAGACCGAGGCCCTACACACTTAGGACCCGGGGCTGGACTCGGGATCACTGGACTGGAGTCCCCAGTACCCAATGGCGCATTCCAATCCCAAGGCCCGACCTGCAGGTTCCGGGTGATAAGGTGCAGCTTCTCTTCAAGGCTAGGAGCATCCCCCATGGCTCCGCTTTCTCCGCTTCCCGCGTTCAGCTGGCACCCGCGCCCTTTCCTCGCCCGCCGCCGCCGCCGCGTGCCGGGAACTGTCACGCTAGTCCCTTCAGGTTGCATCAGCTGAGCTCGTAGCTCCGCTTGCTAGGCCTAGCTGCACTTCCGCCCAGGAGTAGCCCGGAGTCAGGAGCAGCAGAGAGTCGAACGGATCGATGAAACAGGAAGAGGCGGAGCCATCGGGCCGGGTAGGCGGTGCGGAAGGCGGGGTTGGGAAGACTGCCCGGGACGCAACCCTCTCGGGGGCGGGGCGGTTTCCTGCCAATCACTGTTTGGTTGCCCTCCCCCTGGAGGTGGCCTCGCTGCCTCGGGGTGGGGGAGGTCGAGAAGGGGGCGATAAAATGGCGCAGGGGGCGGAGTGAGGTGCAGCCGCTCGCCCAGGCTTTGGCCCGGCTTCCGGAGGTGAAGAGCGGGAGGGACGGCTTTTCGTCGTCTGGGCGGCCGGTCGGGGTCGCCTGTTGCTTCTCCACGGGGCCGCGAACATCGTCTCCCCCCCCAGCGAGGAGTAGGGAGGTCCTCGCCTCGCTGAGGGAAGGGCTGGCTCTCGCTCCTGAGGTGATGGCGGGCGGGGAGGTTGTCCCTGCTCCCCCACCTCCGCCTCCGTGGGCGAGTGACGCCCCTCATCCCGAGGAGGGAAAGAGCTGTCAGGTCCTCGGGCCGCGAGCGTGGTCGCCGGCCCTGCCCGTGGGGGAAGGAAGGGGTCTAGCTCGCCCTAGGGCTCGCGCCGCGGTGGGTGTTGCTAGGGAGAGCGAGGACGGCGGGCTTCCCGCGGCGCGTCGGGGCGGGAGGAGGACGACCCGCTCCCGGCCGCCGCGGGCCGCAGCCTGCTGAGGTGTGCCCGGGAGGTTGGGTGCACCGCCCATGCCGGCGGGGACCTGTGTCTCCCCCGGGGGGGAGGGGCGCGGGAAAAAGCCGCGCTTCTCCCGTTATCCGCAGGGAGGCGAGTACTCCCTCTCCCGAGTGGGAGGAGGGAAGTGCAAAGGCCCTGGGCGCGGTGGCGGTGCTGCTCCTCCAGGGGAGGCCAGGCGGGAGCTTAGCGAAGGCATCCCTGGGCCACCCTCGCTCGTTTCCATCCAGGGCCTTAGGGAACGCCCCCAGACATCTCAGGATGAGCCCGGAAGAAGGCCACCAAGAGAGGACCTAGTTCCCTGGCTGCCCTCATTTTTGTTCTTTTCGTGGTTGTTCGGGGCCCCAAGCTTTTAAATAGACCATTCTCATAAAAGAGACCTGTTGCTTCAGGGTAGAAGAATCCTGCTGCCTGGGGCCGGTGTGGAACTCTTGGCACTGGAGTCTCGGAAATTGTTACCCAAAGCAGATATTTCCAAACGGGTTGTCTTTGCGTTTTACAGCGTTTTGCCGTTCCACGGAGGGAGTTGCAAAATTCTTTCTGATAATTCCAGTTCACTTTGTTTTAGTTTGTACAGTTGGCTTCATTTCAGTGATAAGGCCTTTTTTTTTTTTTTTTTTGGTGTGCTGTGTGCTTCACGTGTGTTGTGCTTTGGAGAGATTGGAACTCACACTCACAGGCCCGCGAGAAGTCCCCTCCGCAAAATGATCCTTGCTTTTGACCCTGCGTCTCAGAGCCAGTTTGGTAATGGTTTTGGTTTTAAGAGTCTTGAAAGAGGATGTGTAGTGTACACCTGGCATGGGAGTCTTACTGTCCTAAATACAATGAGGCTTTGTGCTCGAAGGCAGTAGGTTTTTTGAGGTAAGATAAAAATAGATAGGGAAGCAGTTTCTGAGGTTGCAACCAGGAGGTTAGAGAACAGAGAGGGGGCGGTACACTAACGTGTGGAGAAGGGGGTGGACAGGTGAGAGACGTGGAAGGACAGAATAGGGTCACGCAGAGATGGGGAGCAGAATTAGGAGAATTTGGGACTAAGAAAATATTCCCCCCTTAAAAATAAAGAATCCGCCATATTTAAAGGATTTACCAGGCAAGTGCCAAGTGCGGGTGATGGGAGAGAAGTGATTGTGGAACTTAAGTGCTTCCGGTTGTTTATTGTTAATATTTCGAGACAGGGCCGTATTATGTACTGGCTAGCCTGGAGCTCGCTTGCGTAGATGAGGCTGGAGTGGAATTCAGAAGTCCACCTGCCTCTATCTCCCAGATGCTGGGGTTAAAGGCGTGTGCCCCAATGCCTTGCTATAGCTTCAGCTTTATTGAAGGTTTTCCTCCCTTGAAAGTTCAAATTGACTTTATCTCAAAAACCCCCATCCCCTCCCTCCTTTCACATGTGTAGCCCATACTGGTTTGAAATTGGAAGTGGAGCCTCAAGTAGCCCTGAACTCACCCTCCTAAATGCTAGGAATACAGATGAGTGGGCTCATTTATATTGAAGTTCAGAGAGTTCAAATGAATGAGGTCTTTGGAATTTAGCCCAGTTCCTCTAATGCAAGATATTTCATGGGCCATTAATTTGGAGAATTTATCTGATGTTTCAGTTATCCATCCAGTTTGGTTTGGTGACAATGGCTAAATTTTTCAGTTAGTAGATTATGCTGAATAATTTCTAAAATGGGTCTAGGGCAAGTTTCTTACCAGTTTAGCTTTTTTCCTACCACCCCCTTTGCTTAAGCTTCTTGATGTGAGATGTAGGTTGCAGTTGAGATAATAACCGTAGCCACCACTTAATTGTATCTGTAGTGTGTTAAGTCTTAATTCTTGTTAGTAACCTTGTGAAACTGATGTGCTGTGAAGTTTCCTATTTTATAGGGAGAAATATTGAGACTTGGGGTGTATTTGATGTATTTTTCACACTGGCTTTATAGTTTTTGGTGTTGTGCTTTATTTTTCTGAGACAGAGTCTCTGCTGCCCTGGTTGGTCCGGAACTAACAGTGTAGACCAGGCTGGCATTGAACTCACAAAGATCCACCTGTTTCTGCCTCTTGAGTAATGGGACTAAAGGTGTATTCTACCATACCCGTATAGAATTTTAAGACTAGCCTTGTCTACATAGTGAGTACCAAGCCAACCAGTGATACACAGTGAGACCCTGTCTCAAAAAGGCCAAAACCAAATTTTTTTTGTTTTGTTTTTTATTTTTCAATACAGTCTATATACCTGACTGTCTTGGAACTTGCTATAGAGCAGGCTGTCCTTGAACTCAGAACTCAGGAGATCTGCCTGCCTCTACCTTCTAAGTGCTGGGATTAAAGGCATGAGCTACCACCACTTGGCTCCATTTTTTTTTTTATTAATTTATGTAGTGTGTGGTTTGTGAGTTTCTGTGCGTGGTGTGGGAGTTGAGGTCCAAAAACCTATTCAGTTCTTTCTGTCTGTCTTTACCTGGGCACTAGAGATTGGATTCAGATCACTAGTCCTATGGGGCAAGTACCTTTACTCACTGAGCCATCTAGCCATCCCCTACCCTAAAAGTAATGTTTATTACATATTTCAATATATAAAAAATTAAGCAAGGTAGCATAATAATTATACTTACTGTCCAGGTTTATCTTTCATCTCTATATTTGTTGAGTTTCTTGTTACTGATTAAAAAAAAACAAACAAAAAACTTGGTATGGTTCCCATAGTTCTATGGAGGCAATGAAAGGAAGGAGAATCAGGAAATTTAGGTCATCCTTGGCCACATCTTTGGCAAGTTTCAGGATAGCCTGGGCTATATGAGACCTTGTCTCAAAAAACAAAACAAAAAAATAACAAGACTGATTTTATATCTCCTGCCATTCTTATTTTCTTGCCACTACTGGTTCTTGCTATCCTGAATTTGGTGTTTTTTATAATTTCGTGATGTGTAAATGTGTCCATAGAAACTTCCTTTAATAGATAATTGTGGTGGGGAAAAGGTAGGAAATCTTTAGAAGACATTAGTCTGTTGCATTTTTGTAGGCCTTGTTTAGATGCTGGTGTGTTTGCTTTTCCTTGAGCCTGAAAAATATGAATAAGAGAATTAGAAATTTGAACAGGAGCTTAGGAGTTTAAGATTTTTTTTGGGGGGTGTGTGTGTGTGTGTATAGATGCTTTGCCCGTATGTATGTCTGGTATCTGCAGAGATCAGAAGAGGTGTGAGATCCCTTGAAACCAGAGTTACAGACAGTTGTGAGCCTCCATGTGGGTGCTGGGAATGGTACCCAGGTCCTTTAGAAGAGCAGCCAGTGCTTTTAGCCGTTGAGCTAATGATGTAGTGCCTGAGCTTTGTTTCAGAATAATCCAGTAAAGGGAAGAAATGAATGGAGTTAGAGGTTGGCAGTAGATTGTAGTTCAGGTGGCTGAGTGGTGACTGTGAAGGTTCATTATGTTACAAGGTTTTGTTGTTATTTTGTCTTTTTTGGTTTTTCGAGACAGGGTTTTTCTGTAGCTTTGGAGCCTGTCCTGGAACTAGCTCTGCAGACCAAGCTGGCCTTGAACTCACAGAGATCCACCTGCCTCTGCTTCCAGGGTGCTGGGATTAAAGGCACGTACCACCAAACAACTACTTACTTGTTTTAAATGATAATAAAAAAATTTTTTTTGAAACTCAGGAATTTTGCAAAGAAAATGATTTGTGGGAGCTAAAATTTATTTCTGTCTTTCTTTATGATGTTGTTTTGGATGGTTTTGCCATTTGGGATATTATGAAAGAAGCTCAAAAGAGTCAGTTTTGTGTCTTTGGATGATGGCCAACATCTGTGAGGTCAAGAGCAGCTTCTGATGCATTTTAAGGTATCCTAAATTATTTTTCCAAGTAATAAAAATTTGCCTTCAATATCTACATATCCATAGTTTATTACCAAGCATACTAAATTTAGAAGCCAATGTTTGAATTCTAATTTTTCCATTTGCTAACTGACCCTGGAGGTAAGTCTGTCACAGGAGTTAGGAAAAGATTGCCTTTGGAATTAGTCTTTGGTTTGAATTCTTGTCCTGGCATTATTTTCTAGTGAACTTAAGTTACTTTATTTCTCCCAGCTTTCACTATGAAAACTTAGTGAACAGTGCATTTGGCCACATAAGTGCTTGAACTATATTTTTTGGAGTGATTGGGATGAGGGGGCAGTGGCCCAGGAAGGGTTTCTAAGAAATGTAGTTGTAAAATGGGTGGTAATGGTGCACACCTTTAATCACAGCCCTTGGGAGGTGGACCTCTGAATTAAAAGGCCAGCCTGGTTATAGAGCAAGTTCCAGAACAGCTAGGGTTACACAAAGAAACCCTTTCTCGAAAAAAACAAGAAAGTTGCTTGAGCTCAGTGCCTTGATATTTCTGTTTAATAATCTTTAATTGTTGGTTTTTGGGGTGGTGATAGTAATGATCCTTGCTGTAGCCCATTCTGGTTTCCAAGTAGGGGGATTATAGTGTGCACTACTACAGCTGGCACAAGTTTTTTTTGTTTTTTTTTTTTTTTCTCTTTTCTTTCCTTTCTTTTTGGATTTTTGAGACAGGATTTCATTGTGTAACAGCCATGGCTGTCCTGGAACTCACTTGGTAGTCCACACTGGCCTCAAACTCAGATCTACCTGTCTCTGCCTCCGAGCGTTGGGATTAACGGTATGAACCACCACCACCCAAGGCACAAGGTTTCTTAAATTTATCAGTACTTTCAGCTTTCTAAAAGTAAGCACTGTTACTGCTGTCAAAAAAGATGATTTTAATCTAGAAAACAACTTAGTCACTAGACCAAAAATACACTTTTACTTTTTACCCTAATCACACTATTTTATTTTATTTTACTTTTATTTATTTATTTAGATGCAGGATGTTTTGAGATTCTATAGCTTTGGCTGAATCTGTATGAAGACCAGGCTGACTTAGAACTCAGAGTTTGCCCATTTCTCCTTAGTGCTGGGATTAAAGGCATGCACCACCATGCATGGCCCACCACTCTGAGTTAACTAGATCCCTTCTAATTATAAAATGCTGTATTTTCTCCTCTTTTTTTCTTTAGTGCTTTATTGTCTAGACCATTTTATATTATCTCATATTAGAACTTAATTTTTGGTGTTTCCTTGCTAACATTATTATATGTTGCCAGGCATGATGGTGCACACCTTTAATCCCAGTACTTGGGAGGTAGCCTGGTCAGCAGATCAAATTCTAGAACAGCCAGGGCTGTTCTGAAAACTGTTGTTTCAAAAAACAAACAAAAAACAACCAAAAACCTTAAGACTTATATGTTCTGGGAATTTGGGAATTATATTTTTTTAAAAATAATCATAGAGATGGGCTGGAAAGATGGCTCAGAAGTTAAGAGCACTGACTGTTCTTCCAGAGGTCCTGAATTCAATTCCCAGTGACCACATGGTCACAACCATCTTTAATGAGATCTGGTGCCATCTTTTGGCATGCAGGCAGACATACTGTGTAGCTCGGAAAATTATTACTGAAGGAATATATGAATTAAAGCTGAAAGTCAAGGATATAGAGAGTAGTAAAGTGAAGGAAACTTTACAGTTTAAAAAGGGTGGTGGTGGCAGAGGCAGGAGGATCTCTGTGAGTTTGAGGCCAGCCTGGTCTACAGAGCTTGTTCCGGGACAGGCTCCAAAGCTACAGAGAAACCCTGTCTTGAAAAACAAAACAAAACAAAAAAGCTGTTAAGGAAACCAGTGTAGAGGTAATTTCTTTAATTCTAGCACTTGGGAGGTGGAGGGAGGAGGATCAATTCAAGGCCATCCTCTACTACACAGCTATTTGGATGCCAGCCTGAGCTGTGTGAGACTCTCGGAAAACAAGCACTTGCCTTGCCTAGCATGAGCAAAGCCTTCTACGGGATCCCCTGTATCACATAAGTAGGTGTGAAGGTGTGTGTCTGTAATCCCAGCTCCCTTATGTATACTAAGCAAACACTAAACTACTCAGCCATATCCCTTATCCCCACGTTACATTTTATTTATACAAGTAAACATCCAAGAAGAAAAAGAATAGAACGATGTTGATGCTTGACCTTGTAATAGTCAATATTTGTGTTTATATCTTTGTTGACTTTTTCTTTGTATTTTTATATATTAAAAATGGGAAAGGGGTTGATTGGTTTTTGGTATAGTCATAATTTTTAGAATTTGGTAGAATCTTTGACATGTCCTAGTCCTCTCTCCAACACTTTTCTGTTTTACAAGGAAAGAAACCAAATGGCTTAGCGACAAATGGATCAGGCTTGTTAGTGACAGTGCCAGGTCTTAGGGTTGAGGACTCCCAGTTCTTATTTACCCCACTAAAGCAGACAATAATCTTAAGAAAGTGACAGTTGTTGGGAGGAACTAAACCAGTTCTTAGTTGCATAATTTTTTCTTCTAAAGATTTCTCTTTGGTGTTCTTTACTGAAAATAATCCAACTTGCTGGTATTTTTAAAAAAATCAAGATCAAAATTAATAGATGGAACACCTTGAAGCATAATGCAGTTGACTTTGTAATTAGCAGAGTTGAAAGTGATGAGAAGATCCTTTAATTTTCTTTGTGCCTGCAGGAAGGTGGGAGTCAATCACTTTGACAAGTCTCCTGAAAGGAACAGCGGCAGGAGTTGAAACCTTTTTCCATTTGGTCTCGTGGCAGAGGCAGAGATTGCTCCAGCAGCTCCGCACAGTATGGAAGACATTTTAATTTTTGTTTTTTGAAGCAGGGTCTCACTGTATAGCTCTATCTGTCCTGTAACATTCCCCTGCTTTTACCTCCTGAGTGCTGGGATTAAAGGCATGTACCGCTATACCCAGTAACATTTATCTATCTCCCCCCCCTTTCCTCCTGATTTTTTTTTTATTTAAAAAAAATAGTATGTTTCAGTTGGATTACAGGCCTGGAATCCCAGCTTCTATGGAGGCCGAGGCAGGAGGATTGCAAATTCAAAGTTTGGTTTTGCTATAGGGCAAGTTTAGGTCCAGTCTGAGCATCTTAGTAGTACCCTTTCTAAAATTAAAAAGTAAAAAATAGTCTAGGATGTAATTCAGTGTTACATATGTGAGGCTCCAGGTTTAGCCACTAAAATAGGAAAGTAATATGTGTTTTCTTTTTTAAAAGTGTAAACTTGGTATTTGAACATTTTTAAAAACACGTAAATTGCTTGTATATTATAGTCATCCCATGGTAGTACATATAAAGCTACTTTAATGTGCTTTTAAATAGTTGAATGTATTTGACATGAATGATTTTATTAAACATTTCTTTTAGAGGTGGACATTTAGATTGCCTCTAATATTTGACTACTTTGAATAATACTGCTTTGACTATTCGTATGTGTTTTTATGTATGTTTGTAGTAGGTAGTTTTATATGATAAATTTCCAGAAGTGAGATTGCTAGACTATATGGTATTGCCAAGTTACTCTTTGCAAAATATTATATTAATTTATGCTCTTACTAGTAGTGAGTGCTTGTCTCTACAGCCTCACTAACCTTGATTATCATTCATCTTAATTTTGTCATAATCAGAAAAAAGTATCTTATTCAAGCTTTTTATTTCCATAATGCTGGTAAGGATAATATCTTAATTATTTCTCAAGTTAAAAACCACAATGCAAGCACAGGATTTGAGATACTAGGATGCTTCCTCTGTATATTTAGTAGGTTTGGGTTAGTTTAAGTTACTTCTTGTTGTTGTTTAGCAAAACCTCCTCGTATTTTTTTCAGATATGACGTGCTCACTATTGCCCTCTGAACAGTCTTCTGGCTCCTCTTTCTTGCCTGAAGCAAGTGCCTCATGTCCTTGGGGTTCCTTCGCTGAAGATGACTTGGATGACTCCTTGTTGGAGTTTTCTGATGGAGAGGAAGACGATGGCCATTTCAGTTTCACAGAGGAAGAGATTGAGATGCTGTTGAAGGATGACGGTGGGCATGATGAGTGTAGAGACAGAAAGTGTCAGACCCTACCTGGTACTCCTCAAGAAAATCCTTTGCGCAGCTTGGGACCAGCAGCTGTGACCCCTGGCTTCTTCAAACTACCTCAATTAAGTACATCAATTGGTCATGGACCAACTCCTAGTAAATCATTGAACAGACACTTTGTACTTGAAAAGAATCTTATAAAAGTAACTGTTGTTGCACCGTTTAATCCAACAGTTTGTGATCCTGTGCTTGATAAGAACAAGATCGATTCCTCCAAAGATACGGAAAAACCTGCCTCCCTTGGGGAACAGACGAGAGAAGATGACCTTCATCCTAATGAGAGTAAACGTTGCACTGAGCCTGAAGGGGTCAGTCCCAGTAACTCTGCTTGGGATGGGCCCCTGCTTTCTTCTCCTTCAAACAATAACATCGAACAAACTGCCTCTGATAAAAATATACCTGAAAGTAAGAAACCTAACCCTGTGTTCTCTCAGATCTCCAACCATTCAGAGGTACCTAACAGGGGATCATCCTGGAAAAATAGTGGATCACATAAATCGGGGTGTGAAGTGAGAAATCCAGTTGTGTCCAGTTCATCGAACAGAGTAAGTACATTTTTCTCAACACCGTAGACATGAAATTATTTTCACTCAGAAAGAGTTCCTATGTACTTAATTCCCCAGTAGAGTATTGACTAGCATGTGCTAGTGTCAATCCCTAGTACCAAAAAAAGGAAAGAATTTTGCTGGGTGGTGGTTGTGCTCACCTTTAATCCCAGCACTTGGGAGGCAGAGGTAGTCGCATCTCTGTGAGTTCGAGGCCAACCTGGTCTACAAGAGCGAATTGTAGTACAGCCAGAACTACACAGAGAAACCCTGTCTTGAAAAACAAAGCAACTAAAAAAATTATATTCTCATAATGATGTTTTCAGTTATCTGATACAGCTGAAATTATAAATTGCTTATAACTGGTAATTATCTTTCCTATTGTTTTCCTCCCTTCTGCCCTGGAAACAAAAACAACAACAAATCAGCATGCCCCTGACAAGGACCCTGGGGAGGTGAAAGCTGAGAGAAGACTGGGCAAAGTCATTCCTGTCCTGCAGTCCAGAACCAGGTAGCGTGACATAGAACCATTTGAGTTTTTGGTGGTTCTCTTTCATTTCTTTCTTCCCTTCCCAGTATGTTCTCAGTATGGGGGTGGGAGGTGGGCAGGAAATCCTGCAGGAAGAATAAACAAACTTGAAATTCTGAAGCTACCTATTTGTGTTATCTTGAGCAAATCAAATAATCCCTCACTTCAGTTTAGTTTCTGTGTCAGAATGAAACTAATGATGCCCTTCCTACAACCTCCCAAGGTTATTTTGAAACTAAAAGAGGCATGTTAGTAAAACATTATATAAATACAAAATTTCTTTCATGTATGAAGAGGCCTGATCACATATTTGATGAGAAGTCAGATTTTTAACCAAAAAGGCTAAAATTATTTATTAGACCGTTTAGTCTTATTTCTTTTTTCTTGCATACAACTGGAGGCAAATATTAGGGTTGCAAATTTGAGGCATTTTTTTAGTTTACCTTTTTGTTACCAGGAGATGGCAGTATCTGTACATGGCCATTTTCAGTTGAATGTACTGGAAAAGCTACTTTATAGATTGAATCCAATTCCTTTACTTAAAGTACAATTGAGGAAAAAGAAAATTTGTTATACACTTATGGCATATTTATTCTGCCTTAAACAATTTTTTTTTTTTTTTTTTGGTTTTTCT